CACGATAATTCATTTTGTTGGATACATTTTCCCGGAAATGATTGCGATAAACGATAATATTGTCGGCACTGTTGTATGACCATTTTAGACCACTGACATAATGATAATATATAATAATAATTCAAGTACATCCTTTCAAACTGCTATTCACATCCTCATGTAATTGGCAATTTATCGAGTTCATTTTTATTTATCGTACGATAAGTCCATTAATTGCTTATGGCAAACAATAAAAGGCACACAATAAAACAGTGGAAACAAACATGTGTTTGAATTTCATTAGTGAATGAAACTGTGTGCCCTTTATAGTCTGTGTCCAATATTGTGTATTTGTATATATTGTATATATATGCTAAGGTCCCGCTGCTGACACGATAGCAGTCATTTCGTGCGCATATGTGTAATTAAACCCATGATATCAAAATCTCACTCCAGCCAGGTACCCAAAGTTGGCAACCCTGACAAAACACCATTTAATTTCGGGTTAAAATGTGTTATAACTGCGTTACTGAGCATTGTAACGGGTAATATATTACCCACATTTCATTAGTAATGCGTTACATTACTTCGTTACAGCAAAAAGTTAGATATTACTGTAACTCTGTTACTTTTGTAACGCGTTACACCCAACACTGGTTACAATACGTAACCCTCTGTTTTATTGGATTTGCATAACCGTTGAGTAGCAGTAAAGCACTTCTGTGTTGAAAACTCTGTTTTACAATTGGCTTGGAACTTCAAAAGGGCAGGTGCTCAAGTCCCTTTTGGAGTCTATCTGTAAATAATAAAAATAACAAACTTATCTTTTAGAATTAAGGTAGAAGTAAGGTTTCTGCCGTTACTAAAACATGTGACATTTCTACTTTGCATGTGTCAGTTTTGTGGTTGGTTACCAGAAGCTCCAGTTTTAAGCCACATTTTTGCGATAGTTATCAGATATACAAGCTTAGCATACGATAGCTTTAAGCTCACAGCAATCATGAGATTTAATTGGTCAGTTTATAATTCAATGTAATTTTTATCTTAAAAGTATTGTTATTATAGCCTACCAATTTAATATAATTACAAAACATTAAACAAATATTAATAAAATATTATTATTTTGTGTTTTATTTGAACCTGCTAAATAATTAGATCTAGAATAAAACAACTGAAAGGCACATTTATGAGATCAGTAGTACCAGTAGTAGTAGATCAGAATTAGAGTAGGTTGCATGTCTTGGCAAATAAAATTCTTAAATACTAAAATTGAGGCAATGTGGAAGCAGACCACTGTGGAGGAAATGCAGGATGTTAACACAACTCCTGAATACTGTTGTCTTCCCCTGAAAATGTGACAACTTATCTTATGAGAACTTATGTGATCCTTTGAGAGACAGAGGATATATGTACAGACATTAAAAATGAAGATACTAATGGGAAAGAAGATCACAGTATTGACGAGAAAGCCCTTTTATGAACACCTTTGAGTCAGAAACCATTAGTAGTCAGTTTTCTTACTGAGTCTTTTGATACAGTCAAGGAGCAGATCTGAGACTTTACAAACTAGCCAACATATAATAAATATGTTTCCACTGAGCAGCCGTGAGATGGTTTAGAATCAGCCCAATTATCTGCATCACAATGCATTGGGAATAAAAATACTTTTAACCATTTGGATATGTAAATGTCAACAAATTACTTTTGTTCACCAACATATCTGTATCCTGTTACCAGAGTGCCAATTTCTCTGCATTCAATGTGGTAGATTGGTATTGTTATTGGCGATAGAGCTATGAACCTCAAAACAGATAATGGGATTCGTCATTAAATTAATAAGCCAAGACTTTAATAAAACCTTTTATTGTGTTTTTCAAAGTCTGGTTGCCAGACAAAACTTAAAAAAATGATCATTCAGTTTCTACCACACATCTATACAGTTCTGTGCAATTTACAAGGATAATCCTTTCACCTCTTCTCAACTCAAGCAGAAGACATCCGGATCAGAGTAACAGGGGATAACAACATAAATATCTGACCCGGTGGAGAGGTAAAGTAATTCAATTATATACAACAGTCACATAAGATACAATTCATACATGAACCAAACAAAACCAACAGTTTGCCGCTTCAATCCTCAAACTCAGTCAGAAGTCCCATTGTTATGTAGAGAAGTATTTACAGATACTGTAAGAGTTCCACGCACATTATTTGAGTTCTAAACACAAAATGACGTTAAGGAAGTCATAAAGAAAAATGTTTCCATTCCTTCACTGTTCAGCTAGAGTTGGAATTGATGACATTTGTGCACTGAGGTTCACAGAAGGAGCCGAAGCGCCCGCAAATGTCTTTGGCTCGAACAGCGAAATGATACGTGGAGCCGGACTGGAACTGGGTCAGCGTACAGGCCATGGGCAGCGGGAGGGCCTTCACCTCCCCAATCTTCTTCCAGTGCTGCTGCGCTGTACCACTGTTGGAGTTGTCTTGATGGAAGGCATAGAGGTGATAGCTGTCCACAGCCGCACAGGTCCGATCCGTTTCCGACACACACCAGGACAGCACTATGCCGGTTTGGCTGGGCACCAGCTTCAGCTGAGGCTGCTGCGGAGGAGAGGAGCGCTCCGCCTCTGGGGGTAAGCGTGCCAGTGCAGGTGCAGCGGGGAGCGGGGGCAGCACCACAATAGAGCCCCGTGTCGGCGTAGTAGTGGTTACAGGGCGGGATTTCAGAGGAGAGTCCTAAAAAAGACAAAACTAGTGTCATGAGTTGTTCCTTGAGCAAAATGGGCTAAATATGTAACAATACAATGGAGAGTGCAATATGGTTTCAGGCAACAGCTTATAATTGCACTAAACTACATTTATTATGTTTGATTCGACTGTACTATAGTTTAATTTGTACATATTACTACATGAGATACATACATTGACCCAATCTGGCGGTTTCATTACTTTATATTCATGTAATAAATAACCAAAGTCAATCAAATTGTTATCTGCATGAGAAACATAAATGGTTTTAATAATCATCCGTTTATAGGGATCAATCTGACCCAGATAGACGTGATCTGAGGTTTCAGCTGAGAAAAATAATTTCTCAACTACTTAACAGCTGGCAACAAAGCTTTTATACTGCAAGATCAACTGGTAGCCTTACTAGGCAGCCTTTAAGGATAGGATCCACAGATGTATCAATACGTTTTAATTTATATGCAATTAACAATATACAGAACAAAACGTATAAGCTACAAAACACATTTGTGCAAAATGTGTAATGTGCAGATATAGATCCTCACCAGTGGGGGGCGATGGTGGACCGTCAGCTGAGGATTGCTCTGCGGGGACGATCTCGCTCCTGCACCTGAGGACAGAGTTTACAGATGTAAAACGCATAGTATTTATGTGTGTAAATAAATGTAATTATATTTCTTAAAAATCATAATGGTGCCCCATAGAGAGGAGGAGGCACTGGTTTATGGTATCACATGCATGTACAAAGTGATCCTTTCATGTCTTGATTATATGATATAATAATGGGGTCTTACTGGAAGGGGTGCTGAGGACAGGATTCGGACGCTGGGTGGGTGAGGGAGCTGCAGCTGTGGCGTTCTTCACTCCGGTCACTGGAAAACAAGGAGAACAACGTAATTAAATTACATTAATAACTAAAGCCTGCTTTTCGGAACAGTGCGTGTTAAGGTATACCGATCCTAAAATAAAAATCTATTTTGTGTATGGGGGTTAAGAGGTGACTGACCTTGTACATCATCATCGTCCTCAGTGAGGTCGATGACGGAGCCTTTTGGTCGCGAACTTGGAGCAGCTGCTTTGGACGGAGTAAAAACGGTAGCCTGGTTGTCTGAAATCAAATAAAAGGGATAAATGTTGAGACCCAAAAATCGACAAACAACTTTACTAATACTAAATACTTTACTGATACTTTGCCAAGATAAAGACAATGGATCAGGCAACACAAGTTACTGTTGAGATGACAAGCTAACAATACACATACATGTCTGGTAACCCTTGTTTAGAATAACCAAAGGGTTTATTGCTAGTCAATCAAACTTTGAATAACAGTAATAGTTCAAATGGTAATATTACTAATTATTAGGGCTATGATTTACCGTTACAAACATTATAACATTGTATAAACTATATTAAGTATTTGTTAGTAACGAAAATATTTGTAAACCTTTCAGAAATCACTTGTAAAACATCTTAAAACAGATAACACAGATATTTGGACCAGATATTTGTTACACTTTGTTAATGGTTAATAATTGTAAGTATTATAGAGACATCGCTTCGATGGCTAATGTCAAGTTGCATCTGGGTTAATTAATATACATTTTTTAAACATTGTTAATTATTATTTCATTCTTTGTTAACAGTAAATACATTTAAACTAATTTACGATGGTTATTTCAACCAGTGTGTCACATCTTTACATTTCTCGTTTTTGGGACTGGCCTAATGGCTTGACAGCCTGAGTTTTACAAGTTGCAGATTGCCGCAGAGACACAATATACACTTTTGAAAGACAACAGCCTTTTTAATCAAAGTGCCACCCTACCTGTCTTTGATGTGAGGGATGTCCCTTGTGGCGGTCCTGGAGCGGTGGATCCTGTAGCAGCGGGCCCAGAGGCTGCCGGTGAAGAGGCTGAAGACATGGCTCCCGCTACAGACACAGACTGAGCCGGGGCCCTGGCTGTGGTCACAGATACCCCTGCATTGGGTGTGGTTATTCCCCCAGCACCACCCTGGAACACAGCCCGGGCGATAGAGATCTGGGTGGGGGACACCATGCCAGTGGAGGGCTGGAATGAGGGGACGGTAGCGACAGTGGGACCAGAGGCCGAGGAAGTGGTAATAGCGGAAGCAGGCTTGAGTATAAAAGTGGTGGTGGTAGTCGTGGTTTTCGCCTTGCTGTGGGACGTGGCTGCAGACAGAGAGGAGACAGGGATGTTGACGAGCATTCCTCCCTGGCCGTTGGTCATTGATAAAGGCAGCTGGATGAGGAGCGGCTGGCCCGCTGCCATCATGCTGCTCCCGCTGGGCGTCTTCAGCAGCGTGCCGGTGGAACTCTGGGTGGTGGTGCCACCGGTCAGGGTGGAGCCAGCATTAGAGGTGGTGGTGATCAGCTGGAGGATGGGAGCCTGTGAAACCATGGCAGTGGAGGTGGGCGTATGGATCAGACCTGTGGTGGAAGCAAGCAGGAATGGATTTGCTGTAAATAGGAAAAAGTAAAAGTTTTTTGGAAAGTCAAATGAAGTGAAACTGAGGATTTCAAATGAACTGTATTTTGTGCTTATAGGCTGTAAACAAATCTTACGATATATGGACACGACCTTGAATGTTTGCTGACCTTGATATTGCTCGTTGTGTTTAAATGCATTCCATTTTACATAAAAAATAAGATTTATAAGAGAAAAATATACATCCAAATATTCTTAAGAAATGTTATCTTTAAGGTTTACATGCATTATTATGCGATGTATACCAGTGACATTGTCAAAAAATTAGGAAAATATATTTTTCTCCATTCTTTTAAGTTATTGTGACAGGCCTGCTCCTTTTTACTAAAGCCCCGGCCACACGAGGACGATAACGCAAACGGACCGCAATCGTAATCAAAAAAGTCTTCCGTCCACACGCAGCAGGAAATTATCGTATAGGCATAAACACGGAGCCGTTTGCCCCCCCAGAGCGGTTCGTTTGCAGATCTACCCACCTTGGGACCCGTTATCTGCGTTTCCATGTCGGCCATGTGTGGCGGAACCGTCTATCTGATAGTGAACTGTAGCAGATACGACCGTTATCGTCCTCGTGTGGCCGGGGCTTAAGAGTCAACTTAAGGGTGCAGTAACCAGAAACGGATCAGTTATCAAAATATCCATCCATTTTTTATTGTGAGCAGCACGCATTGAAGTGAAGACCTATCCTGTCCATGTCATGGACAAAAGACAGGTACGCATCCACTGCCGTCAAATTCAAATTACAAGCTGACAGGACACTTAAAGAATGAGTCTGTAAATGTTCCATTACTATTATTGTCAATAAATCCCAGACCAAAACCAACAATGAGTTTGTCAATTCTTTCTCACTTTCTAAGCCTGTATGTGGCACTCAGCTCCGTACGACGTTTTCACACCAACTTTGAATGAATTTGCTAGTAAGTCTTTAAAGCAGAAGGGCAGCGTAGGTCAAATTGATTCAGCGACCGTGTTAATGTTGATGAAGGCACATGTGCATTGTGTTTGGCTACAAAGGCAATACAACATGAAGTATAAAAAAGATCTGCTACTCACCACCTGTTGAGGGCGAAGTAGTTGTTTGGATCTGCTTGAGCTCCATGGAGGTACGAACTGGCCTGTTTAGAAAGATCACTCATGCTTAGAGCTATTTACAAAAGGACAATGGACTGAATGTGGCATTGTGCTGACATGTATTTTTATTACATACACAATTACATATCATAATTGAATTAAGAGTTCTCACCAAAGCATTTATCAATATGCACGTATACAGTAGTTCAACCATTTCAAATGTGGGGCCAATTTCCTGACTAACTGTTAAAGGTCCCATGTCATGCTTTTCCGGTTATTACCCGTCTCCTTGTGTGTTATGAAGGTTTTTATGCATGTAAACGATCTGCAGAGTCAAAAACCCTCAAAGTACACCCTGTAGCGAGTAAAACTCTAACACAGAAAAGACCTCCCCAAAACGCCTCGTTGGAGATTTCTAATTTTCCAATGTTTTCTTCCTGGGTATCGCTACGTAGGGATACCCAGTAGCCAAACCCAGAGCTATGGCCGCACCCTCTGCCAGCCTTTCACGAAACAAAGCTTCCCAAACCTTTCAGCGATTCATGCCGGATATGTACAGCGTAGGGCACTGAAGAACGATGCTGTTCCTACTTTGTTTGGACCAGCGGGAGATTCGGGTACACAATCTGCAAGTATTCATTGTTGTTTGTGTATTTATGATGTTTAAAACAAACAAGGTATCTACCACGACTGTTTAAATGGGTAAACGTTTTTCGGGCTGCTAAGTTGGGATTGCGGAGAAATGCTCTCCGCAGACCCATGCTCACAGCGTTATAAACCTTTTTCTCACTCAATATCAAGCCACACTTATTGATTTTACTTCGGCTGTGAGTGTTTGTGTGCTCAGGATGAGTTATGATTGTTCTCCTGTATCGCCGACACGGAAGCCTTTCTGTTCCGTTGCAGCAGCGAGCAGCAACGAGCCTCTCAGCTTCGCGACCAATCAGAGCACACTGGGCTCACAGGGAGGGGGGGGCAGGAGCTCCAACACGCCGTTTAGGACAGAGAGTGAATACACATACTATACAGAGATGCTGTATGAGAAACCAATGTGAGTTTGGAAAATTGCACAGTATAAATATATTTTAGTAGACCTCAACAATGGAATTATGATCAGTAGAAATGGCCATGACATGGGATCTTTAAAAAAACTTCACAAATTCACATCTCTCAGTGAAATACATTATTAAAGAACGTTGACAGAATGAACTAATTATCTTGCAACATATACTCGAAAAAAATCCGCTTTTTTCTTAACTCGCAGTACTTCATTGATAACGTTTTGAATGTCTCGCCACTGGTAATAAGTCAGTATGGGGAACCGACGGTCGACGTACATCCTCATCGCCCTCCTTAGATTCACAGGCAATGCGTCCTTGCCATTTGAACCTATATAATTGACCTTCAAGAGCCAGTCACAGTAGATTTCATATGTGACTAGATAGCGGAAAATATAGGATGCGTAGCGGTCATGTCTGGGTTTCCCTGAGCTTCTCTGGCAGTAGTGGTACAGCACGGACTCCATGTGGGGCGTGATTGAGCGGAGTTCAATGTCTGCCGTGCATTTTCCTTCACTTAATTCCGCCAGTTCATTTGCCATATCGACATTATTTGATGTATCTTTATTGTCATGTTTCTCCTCTGTTTCCTGTTCTTCTTTCTCCTTCTTGATAGACAGAACAGGAAGCTCTCCACCAGAGGGCGCCACTTCCTCTCTGGGCCCCTCAGGCTGCAGCTCTACTTTCTGCTGGAGCACGCTGTTGAGAGGAGAGGTGCAGTTTTAACTACACTCTGCACGGCCTGAGGAAACGCTTAGGCTTCACATTGTAGAACGTCACAAGACTCAGGACCTGGACCCAGGTGGGGTTACTGTGCAGGTGCAACACACAGACTGTCATGTGTGTTTGTTTATTCCAAAACAAGTCTTAAGAACTATTTGGAAGAGTTTTATAAAGCTGATCCAGACAAACCGAACAAGGGGCATGGAATCTTGGTTTCCAAAACGGTATTTGGAAGATATCTTTATTCTGTATCTGTGATTACAGATAGCAACCCCGGACAATGTCATCTATACATGCTGTGAACGTCTCCATGTGTAGTACTGGCTTCAGTCCGGTATTGTCACGTTCATACAAAGACCAAATGATATTCACTGACAAAAACCAAACAGCAAGTAGTGCTGTATGATTGAAATATAGCATGTTTAATGCATTTATGTTGAGAATGTTAATAAATGTTTTGATTTGAAATGTTTAGTCAGAGGATGAAATGGTCTGGCAATACCAAATAAATCCCAGACAAGGACATGGAGGTCATGCAGACACTTACCGTTGAGTTTGAGAACTGTTTGCAACAGTCACAGTCTTGGCAGCAGCAGCAGCAGCAGCAGAAGCGGTAGCAGCAGATACAGCAACAGATACAGCAGCAGATACAGCAGCTAGCGTCTGTGGAAATCAGACAGTGTTAGATATATATCAGAAACAAACACTGGAATACTAGGTGTGTAGCAGGGTTTCCGCTAGGATTTTTTCTTGCCGGTCAAATGTCTGGAAAGAATTTATTATACCAGACAAATTTGAAACTTACCGGTCATGTTTCAATAATAATAAGAAGAATTGTGTAGCAGAGTTTCCGTTAGCAGGTAATTACCGGACATTACCGGACATGACCGGATATGCTGATGTTTAAAACTCAGTTAGTGGGGCTCTTTTTTATATTGCTTCAGTTTATAATCGTAACAGATCGAAAAATTCAGATTCATTCTTCAATAAATGATTCCACAAACAACAAACAACATAATTATTACATTCAAACAAACTACTTTAGTAGATAGATGAAGTAAATTATTGAAAAGTTTACATTAACTTTGAATAATAACACGGGAGAAACGGATCCTCTCTTTTCCCCTCTCTCTCCCTCGCTCTCTCCTGACAGCCCTCTCATGCAGCTCGCTAAACAGTGGGCGGGGCTTCAGGTGATCATGCAGAGCTGTGTGTCTCCGTCAGACTCAGCAGCTGATCTCTCTCTCTCGCGTCCGGTTATACTTCACTCGCGTTTATGTCCATATCGATCAGATCCAGCTCTCCTGATCGGCCTTCATAGAGAGCACCGATCAAACTATTAAGAGTCAATATCGGCCGATAATGGTCGGCGGCCAATCGATCGGAGCATCCCTAATTATTACCGGACATTTTGACCGGCAGGTTTTGAATTTACCGGTTTTTAATCAATTTTACCAGCTAAAAAACGGTAATTACCGGCTAACGGAAACCCTGGTGTGTAGGAGTGTTTAGCGTGCAACAAAAGAAAAATATGTCTTACCTCCTGTTTCCTTTTGTTCTCTGACGCCTGATTGGCCTCACCAAACTTTTTCGTTAGTCGGTTTATCTTGGCCTAAACAAACAGTAGATAGGAAGGCACTTAACTACATAGCACTAACCAGCAAAAGAGCATCTTACACTACTGTGTTTAAATGTAGGTTTACTTAACAATGTTACAGTCTACTTACTTGGAGTGTGTTAATGGCGGTCTGGTGTTTAGTGGCACAGTCAATCTTGTCGACTCTTTCCTTCAGCTCATGGAAATGTTTATCATAAAGGCTCTGCTCCAAGGCCTTCAACCGCTCTTCTACGAGATGCTGCACAATCTGGAAAACAATATTAGAGGAAGGGGTTAAAAGGCACAATTAAGTAAAGATGTATCCATTGGTTTCCAAGGAAAGTTCACTTAGACTGAAGAGAAAACATGATGTGTATCAGGGTAGGTGCAAACCTTTTCAAGTTTATTGTGACTGCCAGCCTTTGTAGTGAATTTGAATTCCAGTTGTGCCTCCAACTCCTCACGCTCCACTTTGGGTTTCTTCCCCTCACGTTTCACGGCTTCTACATCATTTTGAGATCCCTCTGATAAAGTGCGCTTCAGTCCGGAGGTGGAGCCCTTTTCCTCTTGCACTTTGGGAAATAAAGGAAAAAGAGATCTGTTATTCTATGTGAGCTTTTAATTTCCCTAAATACTTTATATTGATTTGCTTTAAGGATGTCTCAGTCACCCATATGCAAAACTTATTTCTAAAACAACACGAACATATATCCAGGCTTCGGATTGTAGACAAAACATATTTAACAGAAAGCCTTTCCATTGCCTTACATTCCAAGTCTACAATGGTACAAGGTCTGCATTTATACAATATTAAATGACATGTCTAATATAAATGCTTGTGCTTCATACCCTGTATCAATGTAGAGAAACTATATTGAAGCTATCAGGAAGATTGTTGCAATTCACTCTCTCATACCTGTATTAGATGGTGGAGTGGAAGATGGTCGAGAAGTTTTTTTGGTTTTTCCAACATCAGCTTTTTCCTTTTTGGTCTCTACTTTCACTATATCCACATCCATCTTTTCCTCATTCATTGATCCTTTCTTAGCAGCATCCTTTTCACCCTTTACGTTTTTCCCATTCTCTTTTTTCCCATTCTCTTTATCAACCTTTCCTTTTTTCCCATCCTCCTTTTCAATCTTTACTTTTTTCCCATCATCCTTTTTGACATCCTTGTCTTGTTTTATATTGTTGGAAGAGGAAGCTGGTTGAGATGAGGAAGGAGAAGTATTTGGGGAATCAGAAGTGGTAGTTTTGGGGCAAGAAGGCTTTTCAACCTTCGCTTTGGTTGTGGGCGCCTCAGTGTCCTTGGCCTTTGTAGTGTCTGTATCCATTGGTTCTGTGCAGTTAGATCCTGGAGGGGGCAAACATGGAGCCAAACCTTCAACCGAATCCTTTTGCAAATCCTTAGCGGGGTCCTTTGTTGTAGTTTTGTCATCCTGGCGAAGAACAAAATAAACCATTGGTTACTTACTTAGAAGGTTTTTGGATTCTCTATCTACCCACACCTTAACATTAACGTAGGTTGTCTGAAAAAAATCTTGAATAAATCCCTATGAGACAATGTCGGGGGGAAAACGTAAGCATTTACCTCTTCCTTTTCCAGGGCCGGTGTCACCTCAGATTCTTTTTCCTTGTTTTCCTTAGATTCTGCTGAGGATACTGGAACAGATTCCTTTGATGAGGACAAAGACGAACCTTTCTTGGGCTTTTCCTCCTCAATCTTTTTGAGTTCTAAGTTCAAGGAGTGGAATGGAGATGTGGAAGGACTACAAGTCTCATCCTTAGCCTTTGAACTTTGTGAAGAGGAAGGGGAAGGAGACAGATTTAGGGAAAGGAAAGTAGACGGAGAAGCAGGGGATGCAACTTGAGGGGAGCCTGAGTCCGAGGCGTTGCTTGGCTCTTTGGACCCTGCTTTTTGTCCATCCTCCTTGTGCGTGCCATTCATTAGAGGTGGCGAAGCAGTTTCGGACATCCCCACAGCTGCTGTCAAGAAAGTGCTGTGAAGGGTCTCCAGTTGCTGTCGGTCACTGATCTTCATAGTTTTCCTAGCACGGAATATCTTCTTCTTCTCCTCGGTCACAACAAGTTCCATTGCTGCCTGTGGAGTGAAAGGAGAGATTAAACCCCTATTGCTAGCTGCAATAGGAAGCAGCATAGTGTCTATCGCTTATGAACCTGCCCTGGACTTAACGCACTGCATAGGGGAGAAATGGCTGCGGAGCTTCAGAGCAAACACTAGAGGTCTCTGTGGAGCCCTTTGGCTTTATTGTTTGTTCTTTTCTAGAAGGTTCTCCTGTCACCAAGATATGATTCCAAAACTGGTCAGTTCCCGACAGTCTGTTTCTTTACTAAAATGTGACACATTTAGACAGCACCTTGCTGTGTGAACACCTTTTGGTATATCTGTGCTATGGGGGGGTGCAGTTAAGGTGCAGCTCACTAAGCAAGAAAGGCTTTTTAATGTAAGTGATTAAAGCTTTAACTGATCTCTCCAATTCATTTTTTCTTAATTTCTTTTTTATTAACCGGTTGATTTCATGTTTACCTAAGCCCCTGATTCAGAGACTAGAAATTACATTGAAGTTAAAAGCAGCAACCCAAATCTGCCTCCCATCCCCCCACGTTCCTATTGGTTCAATCTTCAGCCAATCGGAACAGGCGTTTAGAGGCTGTGTCGGCAGCAGTTAAGAGGTTATGCAAATTCAGGAGGATTTTCCGTACATATATTTGAATGTTTCTCACATTGTAGTGTTGAGGCTAGTTGTGAGATTGTATACATGTTTATTCAATATATATTCATCTCATATGCACATATGAATGTGATTATTAAAATTAGATTTTATGAGAGTCAGACAAAATGATGATGAATATGTGTGCTCCGGGAGAAAATGAAAAGTTAAAAACACAATTTACACTGAGTAGCGAAATGGAGTTGCTGTGATATAAAACACAAGGCAGCAGAAATTATTGAAATAATCTGTCAGTAACTCACCTTCAACCCGAAAGGTTCTTCCTCTTGGGTTTAGCACCAAATTCTTCGAAAACCTGAAAGAAAAAAAGAGATTTTTTTAGTACAGTTTATGTACCGTAACTATTCAAAATAGGAACTGTAACTGAGCCCTTAAAAGACTTCAAAAAAGGAGATGAATGTATTTGAGGGTTACTTTACATTTCAGCAAACCTCACTGTTTTATTTATTTAGAATGAACTGACCACCCATCTAGTCACAAAAGACAAGTATATATCGGACGATTAGGTATTTTCTGAGAATGTTGCCAAAACATCTTTACAAAGTGATTAAGCTATTTCTCCAAGCCAAAGAGCAGGTAAAGGGATCCCAATTTAAGACGTGACACGTTAACCAATCACACAAAAAGGTGAAGAAGAAAAAGATTCCAGACAGAACGAGGCCTCAAACTGCAGGAGAGGTTTTCCCAAGCCGCAGTTGGTCCACAGCAATCAGCGTTAACAACAAAAAGCAGACATATTCTAGACACTAGTTAAATCTGTTTGTTGGTATAAGCCAAGGAACAGAAAACAAAGCCGCTTATCATTCACATAACCGCTCAAATCTTATCTGGTCAGAGCTGCTTCCGCTTCACACCGTAAAGTGTGTTCGCTTTACTGTTACCGCATTGCTAACAGAGCCATCTGAAGGCCTCGATCTCCAACATGTTTGAATTAGATATGCGTACTATTTTTGCTATTTGGCAGATTGTCACGTGCATAAAGAAAATACAACTTCACTCAGGAGACTGATCTGGACTGACTTTACACAGTAAAACTCAGCAGCACTCTGAAGTTGCTTGCGCATACACATATCTCCTTCTCTGCTTTCATACCAGCTACCATGATTCCTGCATTGATAACAATCCCTGATTTAAAAACTAGTGAGAAGATATTTCTGCAAAGTTGCATTCAACTTGACCTAGGAAAGCAGTATGCAAAAAGGTAGCATTATCAGATATTAATCAATAAATAAAGAGCGTTGCAAGTTGTGAGCACGATAACTGGTACATATAACATTCCCATGTTATTGCACACTGCGCAGTGCACAGTTCCCCCTCCCCCTTCCTACGGCCTCATTTGCTGCGCCTGGTTTCAGTGCAGTAACTCAAAATGGCCGTCAGCTCTGCTGTTTGCTGCCAGACTGAGCCCTCAGAAGCTAGCTGAGCTGGATTCTCTGTCAGTCATCAGGTTGCAGCACAACCCCGATTAATTACATTTTCTATAAAGCCAGATGCTTAAGAATGTTGACAATAAAATGTATATGTAGTATAAATTATATTTGATTAAACAAATAGATATAAAAGCCAAAGTTAAAAATGATTAGAGAGTGATATTTATCTCTTTATTCAGCTCTGTAGAAAAATGCTATAGCTAATCCTCAGACTTTTTAGTTGCACTTTGCAACCTTTCTTATATATAGGCAGTTATGTTTGAGTCCTGTTTAATGGTATAGATTATATGTACAGTATCTACAAAAGCAGCATTCCAAGCAATAGCACGCATTCTTATGTCAAGCTTATAGAAAGCTTTCTGCAGCTATGTAAGTGAGTGCACTGCTGAAACTCGGAGACCCTTGAGTAATGCAGAAGACAACCATTATGCGATGGGATCAGTATGCACAGGCTGGGTGTGGCATTAACTGCGGAACTCAAGTTATGTCTAAAAGTCTTCAAAATAAAAATGCCTACTCAATTAACCTAAACAGCATAGATGCACACAGATCCCCACTCGTGCTTTAACACTCCAGAAAGCATGATAACCACATAGGAATATTCATTTCCAAATTGTATTCCTAGCCCAGACAACCTTTTTATTCACTAATGTGTCAAATGTTATTTCGGAATATGTGATGCCATACATGAGAAGATTTTTTGTCATGTGACGCTGGAGGAATTGGGTGACAATGAGAGATGTCCATTGTTTCTCTGGGTTACAACAACTACTTTCCTTCATGATGCAACATTGGTGCTTTTTATTGTATGAGAAGTTTGACTCTGCAACACACTATTTCGACACCAAGTGACTAGCCATTTAGTTGCTAATCGTATGTCACAAAGTTGCAGGTCTCTCAAAATCAAAACAATTGGAGAACTGGGGGACCAGGGAGTCAGCCCTGCAGCAGGAACACTCTAAAGTTAAGCCTCTGTAATGCCAAGCTAAAAACAAACTTGGCATTCCTACCACAAGGTGAAGAGGAAGATGAAACCTTTCTCTTTGGGGAAAATCATATCACATTAATGGTTGAAAATGGGTTCATGGAGATGAAACCCCTCATCCAGATTCAAAGCTTCTCAGAAGACAATGTGAAAATAGAACACAAACTTAAAAGTAAAAGTCACTTATTGTACGGTACATGTGCAACTTGCCAAAACTTGTAGGCCTTCCAATAACAGCATCCAGGTGGTGTTATGTTTTTAATGAGGCAGCGTCCCTAATACCAGTTATTCCTAGGTACTTATACATTTGATTAGTACGTGACGCCAATCAATTTTTAAAACTTTTGTTTGGAAATGCATTATGCTACAATCAATAAAGGGAATTTATCACCAAAATATAAAACTAAATGCGAGTGAAACACAGTGGTGCATGAATAAATACAAAGCAACAGGCAAGCTTAATAAACGTATCTAAACTGGCCCTGTATGTCAACCAGCAGAGCAATTAAGCCCACTTCAGTCAAAAAATAATTAGAGCACCAATTTGATGGTTCCTATCGACTCTTACGTGTAGCGGCTTCTTTGACCCGTATAAATCTACAATTTGTTTGTGATTATTAATAGATGCCCCGATCCTGGCAAAAAGCTGACGAAAGCCTCGGACCATAATGAGTTTATGTGTTGCCAGACTGGCCGACCAAACGATTGTTAGCACTGAAGACGCTTTAAACATGTGTGAAATGTATGAGATTATCATACAAACAGAAATATCACACAACTACAAATATGTTGACACTGCTATAAATACATACTTCACATGTTGTACACAGAACAGGCATGACTAAAATTAACACCTTCAGATCCTGAGCCTAAAGATTCAAGTGCAACCAGGTTCAAACAATGTTTGAATAGCATGCGCAACACTGCTATCGTGCACAGCGCTGCGGCTAACAACATGTATTTCCATTGTCAGCTACATTAGAATTAATTTACAGTAAACTCCTTGAAACACAAAGAAAGACTGTGAAAGTTCATGTTCTCTGCTTAAAAACAACTTCACAATAAACATTAACAACAGCCAAAGCTCAATGTACTATGACTCAGCATGAGCACTCTGAGGAAGTATCACAATCTAATCTCAGAACAGGAGTGAGCGATGCAATGACACAGACAGTTGAGTACTTCCAAATGACAGACCAGAAATTAACATGCTTTAAAAAGAGGGAAAAACATCAACCTTTGCTCGTGGGATTTGAGGCTTCCATGTAATTTAGTTCGGTTGTGGACAGCAGGCTGCGAGGCCAGAAGGAACACAAAAGAATTGAGGAGGGACTCATTTAGGGCTAGTCCATCTTGTAATGGGGGGGGATGGGAGTAGGGACTATTAAGGATGGTGTTCCTCACTGAGCCTAGATAGAAGAAACAATAACTTATAAAAAAGAAAAAGTCTGTTCATAACTCCTGACAGAGCATTATATAAAACCTTTTCTTCCACATCAACTTCATAATATATTTGAAGGTCATATCTTTATACAAATTTGTGGGTAAAACATTTTTTAACCTTACAGCGTGGTGATTTCAAACACCAGCCCAGCTAGCAGGCGCACAGCTGAGGGTAGTACACTGCAATGATTGTTGCTTTGGACACACCATCCAACTCTAGCACAAACCTAGTCACAGTATGGAAATCCTACAGCAAGCCACAGACTAACCATTCGGTAAGGAAGGGGAAGTTAAGGGGGAACT